TTTCAACTCTGATGGTGCCTCGTGACTGAATAAATAGAGATATTGAAGAAAACATATATGATATACTTCAAGATTCGATACAAAGCCGACAATAACCCACTACGAGTTCACTCACATCACTTTTTGTGCTTCTACAAGNATGTACCCAGGAATCGCTGATCGCATGCAAAAGGAGATGACCGCGCTTGCCCCCAGGTGAACCTTCTGCCTACCACATAAACAGATCCGCGCTTTCACCCCTAATTTCTCATGAATTTTTCTCCTTTTTAGCACCATGAAAATCAAGATCATCGCACCTCCTGAACGAAAGTACTCTGTCTGGATCGGAGGATCCATCCTTGCCTCTCTATCCACCTTCCAACAAATGTGGATCTCTAAGCAAGAATACGATGAGTCCGGCCCCTCTATCGTTCATCGCAAGTGCTTCTAAATTCCTCCGACGCATGAATTGTTCAACGATAATCGTTTCGAGGCGTTTAGTGTGTATTATGCTCAATATGTTCGGGTTCGAATGAAATTTTTTTGCCTAAACGTATCTTTAAACATAAAAGTGGAAATGGTTCAGGGACGAAATGGCATCTGACGCTGCTGTTTGCGACGGTTCCAAGAACTCATAGCGAAGCTTCACCGTTGTGTTCAATCGTTCTTTTTGCGTGGGGCGAGGAGGGGTGAAGTGTAACAGCGCAGAATTCCGAGTACGAATGCTCTCCCCTGCTCCTCGCTATTACACAAAATGTTACGCATTAATTATGGCAGCCGCGATTCACGAAAGCTCCCGCTATACTTACACAAAATGCTTACACTAAAAATACTCTGCAATGACTGGGATTAAAAGGTAAAATTTGCTGGAAAGTTCCTCAAAAATCAGTTCCGCGGCCTTCCATTTTACCCAGTCTCGTCCAAAGAACATTACATTCAAATAAATATTTGAGTGTGGTGTTCCTCGGTCGAAGCTGGGGAAGATGAACGTTGAACGAACATTCGAGTAAAGTAGATTTCATAAGTGTTTGAATGGTGGCGTCTCTCAGCACTGCCACAAAAACATCGGCCATATGTCTATTATTCATTAGCAAATACAACAATAGACTGCCAAGCAATGAGAACGACACGTGGGCGACCTTTTAAATAACTGAAGCTGCTCCGATGATAGGCCAATCCGACCGATCGGAGGAAATTGCCCACACCAATGCGAGAAACGACCATCTCCCCCTAACTTTCTTGTGGAAATGCCTAGAAAGTTCTGATTTGCCGCTACCATAAATCAGAAAATGTGCAAAGGCAAAGCTAAGGTGAGGGTGGTATTAGAGCCCCATCTCCTTCTCTCTAGCCTCAATCCCCGCAGTGTCGGCTGTTCTTGTTAGCTGGCGCCACTTCCTCGAACTGCGGGATCTTCCGGCTTTACACTGGCTCCTATCTTTTCGTGGAAATTCATCGAGGTCCCTTCCCTTGAGCCTCAAAACCCATCGCTGATCGGATAATCCTAGTTCTCCGCAACACATGCCCATACCTTACCTTTACCACATGATTTCCTTAACGAACTTAATCAAAACTGCTGAGAAGAGTCCTCCATTAGCCGGCCTCTCGAATTCATCACTTTACAAGTTTTGAAGGGTATCCACTGGTTCTGCCGCAGCACAGGATCGCACTCGTGGATTACCGTGAGTATGAAACTACATTCTTAGCCACCAGACCATACCTGCCTCTTACTAAATGCCACATCTTTAAAATAGCAATCCTGACCACTCCCTTATAACTCCCTTATGACCGAGGATGGTATTAAAATGCGAACAACAGTGAAACAAAAAGATACGAAATAGGCAGTCAAGCTGAAGGAGCAAGTAAGAGATAAAGAATAGCATTTAAAAGTGGAAATAAATGGAAACCCACAATGAAACCTAGAAAATGCGAAGAGGATCAAAAGCTGAGGATCCGTCGAGAAAACGGAGCGGAACAAACAGATGGGAAGCGAAATGGACTTGTGAAGCGAAAGCGAAAAGAAGAACCCAATAGTGCGTCAAATGGAGAGGTAGTGATTGAGGCGAAATAAGGAAAGCGCACCGAATCAAATAAAAAAGAAATTATAATGCATGGCTTCCACATCAGTCTGTGAAAGCCCGAAAGACAAATGGCGCATGCATTTTAGGGCCAGAAAAAGCTGTAGTGAGAGGACACATGCAAATAACTCGAATAGAAACTAACCTAGAGATGCTTTAGCGAAGATACCCTGGAAGGGAAAATTAACCTCAAAGGTCTACTGGATAGCCGAGATCGTGTAGCGGGAAAATTTCGAAGATGTTAGTCTGAAATATAGGTAAAGACGTTTTGAGCGAGCAATAAAGTGCGTACGATTCGACACATGCCATCGCTATCGGCGGGTAGGAAAAAAGAGCACCACTGTGTGCTCCGATAGTCGTCTCAGAGTCACTACCGAGAAAGGACTACCGAGGCAGCCGTGTGCGCGGCACCATGCATTCGACACGGTGGTGGCGATGGTATGAGCAGACAAATACTCGAACAAAAAGAAAAAAGAACTCAAAGAGATAGCTGCAAGAGAAAGACCTCGTAAAAAGAATAATTTTAAGGGGAGTTAGGTGTTCAGAAAAGGAAGCAGTTTAAGACAGGTCTGGGGACTCGGCATTGTAAGGGATAAAGAGCCCAGTGCCCGGAAAGTAGGAGTAAGGGTAGAGCCTCGTTTGCGACCGAGCTTTTGCTCATATCTCGCCATCGTTGCGATCCCTGTGAGACGTTCAGATTACCTAGTGCGACAAAATAACATCAACTAATGAAACGCCGAATCAGTTCAAGACAGGGTTCGCGAAAAAATTGCATACATCGCGATTGCGTGCCATACTTCTTGAACAGGTAGCGCTACGTCATTTGCATGCCATTAGCCTTTTTGCGCCTCATAATAATACCCTTAGGAAACAACACAGTAAAAAATTTGCAACTCAGCACCTACGAGTGAGAAAATGTCTTGATTAAAATAAATCTCAGTCAATACAGATTTTTCGTGAACGATTCAGAAAACACATGAAAACAAGGCTACAGTAAGAAGCAGTCTATGATTGGTATGATGAAAAAACAAAAAAGGAGAAAGCCTGTAATGGTAAAGTAGAACTCGTGATAAAAAACATTTATACTAAACTACTCACAGAATATATCTACAGAGCCAACAAAATCAAAAAATATTTGAAAAACATGAAATATGACAGGAAAAATGAGTCAAACTCAATACGATACCATTGAGAATAACATACCCAACTTATACAAGACAAGTTAATAACATTTGAATGAAAAAAGTAGTAATGCAAGCCCAAGCATAAAAAAAACAATCAGCAAGAAACGGCTGTCTACGATGTTCGTCATCACCGCAAGACAAAAGCACAGACGCCAACTTCAAAGTCAGTCGTAAAAACCTGTACCCTTTGATGGCCCACGATTACCACAGCCGTTTTGTAAGGATTGCTCTCACTTCACGACTTCATCCTTCTGATGAACCTATCTTCAATCATACTTTAACAACATACAAAAATGTCCAGACAAAACCAAAATGAATAATACACAGACTTCCTTGTAACGTGCACTAGAATTTCAGGGCAAATTCTACCAAAGACTTTGATCAAGGTCTGTTTCGATAGTCGTATCCATTGCATTTGCTCCCTTATTGGGTGATGCACATGACCAAATACTTTGATCAGAATCTGTCTCAAGAGATATACCATTTGCCGAGACATTAGGAGAAACGGCAGAATCAATTCCATCTGAACAAGTGGTTGTAAAGGGTCAGCCACAATCAGAAAACGCGTCTAGTATACTGCAACTAAGTTAGCGTGTTTAGTGTAGATGAGCAAAATATCCAATAAAGGCGACGATATTTAAAGATTTCCTACACGTCGACAAAAGTACGCACTGACGTTTCGGCTACGTTAGGAGGGCAAAATCAGTGGTTGTAGATATAATACGACAGACGCGTTTGAATTTGGCTCATGGTTTAGGTCTTGCATTAGAATTTCGCAGGATTGTTATGTCTTAGTCATTGGAATTATGTATGCTACACTACACTAAACTATACCCAATCACCAAAAATCCGAAATCCTTTACCGTGAATTTAAAGTGAAAATCAACTCACCGATTGATGGCGTTTTCTTCAAAAATATATCGTTCGGAAACCTTTTCGTCACAAAATTCTCATAAGGAGGTGATATGCTACTATCAGAACTATTAGAATCGGATCCGGCTGCTCCGCTCGCCTCATTATTCTGCAAATGTATGTATATATCAATATTGGGAACAGTTGTGTGAAAATCGACTTTTTGTAAGCTCATGACTTTCTTTCACATATTCTCAGTTAAGACCATGGATTTGAAAAGTTTCTTTTTTTTACATCAGAGACATACCGCGAGGAAGTGATATTGTGTGCACTTCTATAACTTAATAATAATAATTCAATAAATTTTTCTGGTTTAAAAACAGAAATAATTAGGACGTAAAAGAAGCCAAAAAAGACTAAATAGAAAAGCTGAAACGAAAAACTACATTAGCATGCTGCTCGTCATCCCGTCTCTGAGGGGCGGCTGGAGATGGATTTTGATCGGACATTTGAACTTCGTTTTCGGGAGCAGCTCCCGGTGTTTTCCTTTCAACTCTGATGGTGCCTCGTGACTGAATAAATAGAAATATTAAAGGAAACATATGATATACTTCAAACTTCGATACAAGGCCGACAATAACCCTTTACGAGTTCACTCACATCACTTTTTGTGCTTCTACAAGATGATCCTGCCGATTTCTGCCGCTGCTTGAAGGATATTGTATCCGGCGAAAAGGGCTTCAAGCCTTCAACTTCAGGAATGCATGATGATGAACCTAGCAAACTCGATTGTGAGGTGGCGAACGACCATATAATGGACACCATATTCTTTGCAGCAGAACTCACCTTCATCACTATCTGATTCCACCGGTCTGCGCTTCGCTCTTTTCCTTCTTGACGATTTTTTATTTCCCTCTGCGCCGGCTGCTGCAGACTCGACAGGCTTAGAAGGTGTGCGAAGAGAGGTGAATGCGTCGATTTGCGATTGAATACTGTTCAATTCCGCACACAGCTTCTCGTACGCATCTCGCTTTGAGGAATACAACCCTTGCTCTTGCGCCAAAAGTTCTCGGGCCTGTGTATTCAGTGGGTGAGACGAAAAGACTACACTTAAGAAGAAATCACTAAAAAAACCCGTTGTCACTTTGAAAAATGGTTCAACTTTCCAATTGCTTGGATCATCTCATTCTCCAAAAAAAATTTAAAACCAAAACGTTTTCGTCATTGAACTCCTAATCCAGAGATAATTTTCATAAAAATGTCCGCCTCGAAGAGGAAAATCGATAATTTCTACCGTTCGGTCCTCGGGATCGAGTCTTCACAGTTTTGCACGAGTCATGCGAGGAGATACTTTACTTATTCAACAGGCAATATCGCTATGACACAATATTAGAGGACTCACGCTGTTGAGGTCTGACAATACTTTTTGCTTTCGTTCCTGCGTGACTTGCTTTTCGAGAGTAATTCGATCTGTAAACGCAAGGAGATCACGTTCAAGGGCAAGTATAGCTTCCTCGCAGCTCTTCTCCTTAAACGAAAATAATCATTGAGTTAATCCAACGTTATGCCAAGAAAACAACCAGAAGAAAAACTTTGCCTGACAGTCGTCTGCAAGTTCCTTCTTCAACTCTTCCATAGTAACCATGTAACTCGTTATTTCAGAGCTCAAACGCTCTTGTTCGTCCTTTTGTTCTGAAAACGCTGCACTGATCGGAACAATATTGTTCTAACGTTGGTGGGACTTGCCGGTCAGTTAATCATCCGGACTATGAAAATGATTCGAAACATCGCCCCCTCACTGTAAAAATAAAAACAACAAGCGACGAAAGTCAACCCTGCAGAGCTTGCTCCCAGTCTTTTTCGGTCCATTCAACTTTGTCACCAAATCGTTCTCGAAGTACTTCCAATCGACACTTCTTGAGTTGCAGTTCTTCTTGTTGGCTAGCAACCTCTTTTTTCAACTCGGCAACCTTCCTAGCTCCTTCCTCCTAAACGTCACATACGCCATTAAGTTAGAGTGTGAGCATTCTCCAACTGAGCTGCACTGAATTAGTCTCTGCAGAGAACTTTTTATGCTGTATGGCTTCTGTTTAAAGAAGTCGTAATTTTGCAGATTACTTTGCAATCAAACCCGCAGAATAGTTTGGGCACCTCTAGTGCGTTCAAAAGACAAGCATTTGTCTTCCTTTAGCAAAGAGATTGCGGCACTATTTTAGAACTATCGCGCACATCATTCACAAATTCTCGGCCAGAGTAGGAGCACGAATGGACGATTTAATCTTGGATACCTACCAGCCCAGCTGCCACCGTGAAGAACAAATGCAGTAGTGCGTGTTCAAATGTCACTTTCCCATGCGCACAACCTTCATATTTTAGTTGGTGGCATATATGAAAAGGATTACAAGAGCTAACGGCATGCTTTCACTGTTTGCACCGTACATGATAAAAATGTCCACAATCTAACATACATTACAGTTACCTATCAAGTAGATGATCACCTTTACAGAGGACAATTTCTCTTGCCACTTCAGGGAATCACTAGCTAATCGTTCTTCTAGAGCAGTTTGATCCGCATGTAATTGGGCTATCTTCTCATCGGCACATTTAATCTGAAAATGAAAGCAGGTATCAAATAATACGAAGAGAGAAAGAGCAAAGCAAGTACTACCGCACACCGACACCTGACAGCTGTTTTTATTACATATCCCTTCCAAACCCTTGTATCCAAAAATGTGAAATCAACGGTTTTTCCTCTGTGGGAAACCAAGAACTTGTACAACGACATCTTTCAGAGTGTCAGGAAGTTCTCAATTCATTACATAAAATTGAAAACCAAAGCGAAGTAACAGAAATTTCTCTGTCGTCTGGAGGCCCAACTTATAGGCAAGCAAACTTCTTTTCAGGGAACATTGTGGAATGAATAAATCAAAAGTATAATATACAGTGGTGATCGAAAGTATTCGGTTTCTTCACGCGTACTTTTCAGTCATACCTCCTTTCCTACTGGATCTAATCAAGCGAAATTTCAATATGTGTAGCATTGGTGTAGTGTGAATATTTCCCATTAACCTGCAATGTGATCGTGTTCCAGATATCCAGAAGGACTTGAACAAAAAATCAACTGGAAATACGAATGGTGGTCCTTCTAGGAGTCCTTTATTTTCGCCATGTCTTAAGTGTACGAGCATTAATGTCGAACCCAGAAGAGAAGTAAAACGTACATAAGGTGGGAATAACTGCAGACGTCACAAACTTGCTTTCAACAAACGCCTCCCCATTAGTATCTGGATATGACTGTTTCGCAGTCAAGTAGTGACGGGTTTCATGTGATTTGCTCCACTGGGAAGAAAGTTACGGCAAGTTAAAGTTGGCCGAATACTTTTGAGCGCTACTGTACCTGTGATATCACTTACCTGATCCTTCATCACCGCCAACTCCTTTTCAGCAATACTATTAGAAACACGCAGCTCTTCTTGGATACTCTCCTCCTTAGCAATTTTTTCCAACAATTCGGTCTTCTCCTTGATCAGGAGCTCAATTTCTTCTCGCTCTTTCTTAATTTTTTCCTAAAAGCAGATGATCAAAGACATATGCAGATGCGCATAGATAAAAAGAAAGGATTGAGTCATGTTTACGTTTTGGAGACGAACGATCTCTTTCTCTTGCTCCAACTCTTCCCGTTTTTTTTCAAGTTGATATTCAAGTTGGGCGATGGCTTGGTGAAGGTCATCTGGAACATCTCGCTTGACCCACTCGTTTAGGTCAAAAACAGCTGGAAAATAAATCAACCGCGTTTGCAAAACATGGAAATTCGTTCAAACCCTTCGCTTGAATTTTGTTGTTAATTTCCAAGGTCGTTTGATGAAGACTTGCATCAGTAGACGCGAATAAAGCCTCTTCTTCTTTCTACAAGAAAATATCAAGCTCTAAAGATATTAGAAAACTCGACATGATTGAGCTCACCTTCATATTCTCTAATAATAACATTAACTTTTGAGCTCCCGTCAAATCTTTTTCATTTTCACACATTTTCGCGTAGAGACCTTCCATTTTCCCTTGTTGCGCGGTAACTTTGGAATGGTGATATTTTGGCTATCAGAATTATTTTAAAAATAGGATTCAAAAGGTTTTTGGATCAAATGACCTATCTATTGGCGAAAAAGAAAACTCATTCTGAGGTAAAATTGACCGCCACAAGCATGTTGCAAACCTCTTTGTGCCGATTCAGTTATAATACTTTCTTTTTTGCGTTGTAACTTTTCAACCCTGTTGCGGAACGATTCAACCTTCTCTTCAGCGTCACGAACTACCGCTTCCAGAACATGTACGAATTCGCCTGCTAAAAAAATCGCACGATGTTGTACAAGCAAGTGTGACACATATACGTACCTGTACTGTGGATTGATGATGTCTGATCCAGTACACTTTTGAGAGATTTTTCAGAGATCGTGAGCGAAGCGGATCTAATCAAGTAGGAGTGATTTTCGGTACAGACGACTGTCAGCAATTGTATAAACAATTAGGTAACAACAAATGACTTTAGAAGAAATGCACCCTACTGCTCCTGTCTGAGCTAAAAATGTAAGATACAAACCTAGTTTCATTTATCTTGTGTTGCTGGCTAACTTGCCCATCTATTACTTCAGCAGTGTAGTCGTCTGTATTTGCCATTTCATACCTGTTCAATTCAGCCCATAAAGCGCTAATCTCCCGATCCTGAAGGCGTTTGGACTTAGGTACCATGAACTACCACTTTCCCTTACTGGAAAAAAAAACAGAAGAGCAACAGGTAGAACTAAATCGTCAACACAAAGGGCAACAGACCTTTCAAGGTTGTTTTTTTTTTGACTAATTTGCGAATTTTTCCCTTTAGTTACATACTTGTTTGATAATACGACATCTAAAAGCCTTACCAACGCTTCGCCGAGCTCCAGCTCACGTTTTATCTCTGCGGCAATATCGCTCATGGTAATGAATAGTTTCTGAAACGTACACAGTTCTCAATTCAGAGAGACTTACAAAAGGGGAGATGACGTCTGGAAATCCATGGACTTTGGAATACAGTAACAACCAATGGGTCCTGACTTGAGTGTCTGATCACCACGTAACATTCCTAAACCTTCTACATCCACCCGACTTTTGGAAGCTTCGACCATTATGATGGCTTTTTTTGATATCTTTTTATATCTTGCCGTGTGATTACGGTATTGCAAAAGCACGTAATCAGCGAAGGAGGCATATGTACTTCTGGATCGCTTATTATAAGTGGTGTTGAAGCAGATGACAATGCACAGCACGTCTCGAAATACATTTGATGGAAGAGATTAAAGACGGCTAGAAAAAAATATTGATGAAGAGAGATGAAGAAAGTAAAAATGAAATGAGAAAGTGACGCAGGGTCCTCCCAGACCACGATGCAAATAGAACAATGTCTCTATGAGAGGACAGACGACAGGAGACATCCCATTGTCCTCTCGCCTCTAAGCACTTCCAATTTAAATTTCAATTTTTATTACCTTAGGGAAGTCTTTTAGATAATCAATAATCGATCGATGCTCTGAGCGGTCAGGGGTATGTGGACGAACATGCGTCCTAGGATGCGCGCGGCAAATTGCGCGGTGAAGTTCGTAACTATTTGACTACTTCAACGCCTATCATTGGAGCATAGATTTGAAGTAGAAAAGATTAGAAGAACCATCTAGCCTTACTAAACTACTCTACTTAGAGCTTGTGCCCCGAAAATCGCCGTCAGAGTCGTACAAATCGTCACGAACTTCGCCGCGCAAGTTACCGCCCGCTTCCTCGAACGCACGTAGTGCCCGTCCCCCAAGCAGTCAGTGAGGAAGCAATCGTTGAATGAAAACGAAACCGTACAGATAAGTTGGAGTGTCTTTAACATGTGAGATCTGGTTAGGACGTAACAAACACGCACGGCATCGACTGACGCCGGTTGACGCTTGTGTGGCGCGGCCGGCCATTGCTAATTGCTCACCTCGCGCGGACTATGAACACTATCTGAACAGCGGGTCCGCAGACAGATTGAAACCATTGACAAAAAAAAAACATACAAATTTTCTTGATAAAAATCCGGACACTAATAATGTCTACCGCTTGTGTAGAACTACCACACCCTATCATCGACCTTGACATTCCACCCACACATGCAAGCAACAACTTACTACTCCTGGTTCCTGTAACTTTTTCAAAGCGAATTTCGCTTGAAAACCACGAAATTCGCAGAGATATTCCTGATATACGAGGAAGCTTACTAGTTGGTCCTGTCACCCACGGGTGGATATCTGACTCGAACGGCAAGCTATTCTTCTTGTCCGTGGCAGTTAAGGCTCTATCTGTCCAGGAAGAATACCCCTATGCAAATGTGCACTTTCGAAATGGCCTTTTTGACTAAGAAAAACTCAGAGCGGATCAGGTCCAAGACGTTCACAATAGATTTCGTAATGCTCTACTTGCATAGGGTTGGGTAAGATAGACGTTAGAAAAAAAGGGGAACACCCATCGAATAACTCACAGGAAAAAAGAGCTACCAGGCTTCACAAATAAAGATGGATAAGTAAGCTTAGGGATGCGTTGCATTCAGGCATTCAAGCCAGGACCCACAAGGCGGATTCTGTGTCGCAGGATCAAGAGCAAAGCGAGGTGACGGCCCAACCGTCGCGCACAAAACGACATGCCGTTCGGGTATATGGACTGGAGTGCGTCCGAGGATGTGAGGCGAAGTGACGATTTGAACGGCTCTAGCGCCTATCATTGGGGTCCAAATTTGAAGTAGAGTAGATAGGAAGGATCATCTGAGCCTACAAAACTACTCTACTTCGAGTTTGTGCTCCGAAAATTGGTGTCAGAGTCGTACAAATCGTCACGAACTTCGCCGCGCGCGCTTCGGACGCACGTAGGTCCCGTCCCCCCCATGCCGTTCATACAGCGCTGCTAACTGTGAATGAGTAGCATTATTATATGTCCCTCGTTGTAATAGTAAACACAGGAGGACATTGTGTAGACTCATTGGCTGCTCATCTCAGGACGTGGTTTGACAGCGGTTATTCCTCGCCTGTGATGGGACCCTTGTAGTCGGATAATGCTAGATCTCAAGAAATAGCCAATAAATGCATGGAACACGAATACAAACATTTACTTCGGACTATCCATAGCAAGCATTGAAATACAAAACGAACACCTCTGCGCCATAGAATTTGACAACAAACCGTTCAATTAAAATTCAACATGATTTTGAGATTTTACAAAAACTCTAAAAAACAGAAAGCAAGAGAAAATCAACGAGAAATAGTCCCTTCGTGTGAAGCTGAATGAAACCAGCTTGCAAGCAACCGCTCCTCTCTGGACTTCAGAGTCTCGAAGTTGACAGCAAAGGCTGTAGAGTTACAAAAGTGACAAACCAGCTGGCCACATTAACTTTGTTTGAGAAATCAGTGTTGTTGAAGTGCGCAGACACAACATTACGACTCTGCAAATTCCAGAAGCTTACGGTACTTGCCAGAACATAAACTTGAGGAGAGGTTTTTTCTTGAGAGCATCTCTATCTTCACAATCTACTTGAAGATTAAATATTTTATCTCGAACTACGCATATTGTTCAGTTTCGTATCATGAGCAAGAGTACGAAAAACGGACCTCCACTCGGTCTTTCAATATAAATTTCCATGAATACATAGCAGCAACTATTTTTGCCACATCAGCACATCGAATTCGACTTTATTATTCCCATATTAACTTTTAATATGTTCACCAGTGATTTGCTATCTTTTTTTGTTTTAATTTTTGAAGTTACACCAACGCAAACCAACTCCGCCACCCTAAAAACGTACCATATTAGGCTCAAAGGACTCACAACTCTGCAGTGATAATTGAAACCCGACATGGTGAGCCTGCTCTTCGACACCTCATGCACGATCTAACATCATTTACACTCAGAGAGTACCTGCCGACGGTCCAACTAATTTCTGCTTCGCTCAAACACATACTTCCTTCATTGCTTTTGAGACAAAGCATATTCTTGAGAACAGTATGTAATCGCAAATTCAATATTAATATCACACATTCGACAATGAACATTTGCCCTAAAATCTACTATCTCTAATCCTACATCGTTTCAATTTTAGGCATAGGCATCTTACTAGAGATGTACATATAAAATACTTTATCCATATGTCCTAGGAATGTGTATTCACTGTAGCTCACGACGAAACCATACATAGAACACTGCATAATTCAACACTAATCTTACTGACAATTGTTGAACAGCTTCATAAGATAAAATGTATTTATCAATAAATAATTTATTAACGCAACCAACTGAAAAAGCAATACGAGGCAGGAAGGACAAATCCTCTAGAAAAAACAGACCCTCACCTCATGTATTGGTGACGCAAAATAATAATAAAAACAACAAGAACAAAAAGGGGCTAGAAACGAGACTAGCAGTTACACAAACGCAACTTGTAGTCACCGACCCGAAACAACAGAGCTTGGCAAAATTTAGAGTTCGTCATGAGCTTCCTCTTCCTTGTCCTCATCCTCGTCTTCCTTCTCTTCCTTTTCCTTCGCCTCCTTTTTCTTCTTTTCCTCTTCCTCTCTCTTCTTGGCTTCCTCCTCTATCTTCTTTCGCTCTTCTTCATCAGCCTTATCCTTCTTCTCCTTCTCGACTGCCTTCAACTTTTCAAACGTCTCAGCAGCATGAGCTTTAGCATCATCAACGGAATCCGTCACAAGAATGTTGTCGAAGATAGTGCCAGACTTGACCTGCCATAGGTCGAAACCGATCGCTCCCCAGTCTTTGTACAAGTACAGTTCGTCATCAGGCGTGTACTCTGGATTATCGATTTCGGGATGAATCCATTTGCCCTTGTAGTCGGGATTTTTGATCTGCTTGGGCTTCCACTCTCCTTTGTATTCAGGGTTGTCAATCATTGGAGGCTCCCATTCTCCGTCCATCTCATCATCCCAGTCATCAGGCTTCTTCGCGTCTGGATCAGGAATGTGCTCAGGCTTGTCCCAATCTTCTGGCTAAATAATAAGGGCATAATCAGTCATAAACAAATACAAACAAAAAAGAAGTCTAAAGCGGTCAGAAAGATCTTACCTTCTTGTCATCAGCGTCATCAATGTATTCCCGCTCATCCCAATCTTCTGGTTTCTTCGCATCAGGATCCTTGATTTTCTTGGGGGGAAGCATGTCCCAATCTGCCTCCAACTCTCCGCTCTCAACCTTTTCACCATCAATCTTGACTTCGTAGGTATTGTCAGGGTTGAGGATAAGAGTGTACAAGTGAGTCAACTCATCATCCTAAATTCGTAATCAATTTAGATTTCATGCTATTCCTTCAAGAGGATATCTAAGTAAAGTGGAAACGGCCGATCCGAGCAGGAAATGCGGCATAAAACCCACTTTGCACCGGATATCCTTCTTGATGAGATGGTTCTTGCCCTTGTACGAGAAAATAACGTGAACTTTCTTTGTCGGTCCGCAAATGTCAGGGCCGAACATGACATTGTATGGAGTCTCACCATGGAAGTCTTTAAGATCCACATCCGAACTCATGACCTGAAGGTAAAAATATGTAATGACATGAGGAACGCCATCTTTGAACTTGTGAATACCTTAACGTAGCCACCACCACAATCGATTCCCTGCTCGTGCTTTACCGTGTATTGGATTACGACGGTTTTTCCCTTGTTGGTAAACTTCTGAAACAAGATTTTTATCTACTTCTGATATAAAAAAAGAAAAGCAAAACTAAATCTTGAAACTACTACGTTCCTGTTACGCATATGATATGAATTAAAAAGGAATTCTGAATATTCATCTTGAAACATTTCGCATGTCATTTCCAAAAGTAATTAACAAACTAAAACCGAGTCTTAGTACTTATATTGCACTAGAAATAATCGAACCGCCATGTCGCCTTCTACCAGAGCCGGTTTTCTATTTACATCTATGACACCTGCATTCTCTCCTTCTCTACGAAGCTTCTTGTATAGCAGTCTGAAGCTGTAAAGGTACCCTGTATTGATCGCCGAAGCGAAACGCTCAAACTAAACTAAACCCAACATTTTTATCGTCAAAGAGGTCATTTTAAAGATCGGATGAATGAAACACGAAAGGACTTAGTAAGGCTTGAAGCGAGCGAGTTTAGAGATTCAGCGACCCATCACAGCTATGCCACGTTAGCAAAAAACTGTGATGGCACCATGGCACCTTTTTAGGAATGTTGAACAATGGCCACGCACGAATACGTCTCGGTTCAGTATCTTCCAATTCTAACTCTTTAACAGATGGGACAGCAAAGGAAAGCCATCTTAGAGTCGCGTTCAACGAGACTGGCTCAGGTTGCATCAGAAGAAGAAAATTTCTTTCCTTAGAACTTTTGACCGCGGCTGATAATTTATCACTTGTACTTATCCCAAGTTTGAAAGTATCATCATAATCACACGATTCCCAAAGAGAACGGAAAAGAATCCACTCTTCATTGCTAAGATACACAATCTCACTGATAGAACCTATCTAATCTGAACTACCAGGAAGTAAGAGAGTGCTGAGGGAATAGAAGCCGGGAAGCCATACTTTACTTTCTGTTTTCTGAGATTTCGTTTACCTAAGCCATTTGTGAAAGTAACCTACTTTGGGGAATTTGGCTGCTAGTGAGTAGAACTTTGCATCTTGACTAGTTTTCAATCCTTGGTCCCTCTTAGCATCATCATAGTATTTGCCAGCAGATAGTTTAAACGCTCCATAGTCGTCCTTGTGCTTTGACTGTACCCATCGTTTTTCCCATGAATCGTCTGAAAATCAACATAAGAATTGATGTGAAAAGCTAACAAATACATCTAATACCAACCAAGAAATTCCTCTTTGAAGAATATCTCCGCTGCAACAATACCAAGCAGAGGCAGCAATAGGGCCAAACTCCTCATGGCGAGTAGATTTCTTCACCAAGCACTGAAAAACCTACTTATTACAGGTTGAATGGAGGTCACTCTTCGACGTTACAGAACAAGAACACGAGTATAAAATCGACGACAAGTGGATGGTTGAAGCGACACGAGAGTAGGTCGAGGCCATATCGGGCAAAACACGAAACCATTGATTTGTGTTGTAAGAAAAATTCCTGAACAATTTCAAGATTACAACTGACAATGAGGTAATGAAGTAATACAGACTGGTATTACTACGTAGTAGGTCGTCTGGCAGATTTTGATGCCAACCACGAGTGAATTCGACGCGATTCGCAAACCGCGCATATATGCTGTCGAGTTGGCCTGATAGCAGACGTCAGCACAGTCGTCGTGCTACGATTGGCCCATTTCCGAAACTGACCAACCACAGCATGACAACAGCTGTGGGCGGGATCTAAGAGCAGACACGCAGAACTCGTCACATAAGAGAAACGAGAGTGAACGTAAAAGATCCACGTGGCTAGTGGTGAACATTGAGACGCCGACGTGATACAGACGAACTTCAGGCTCACATGAGCTTACCTGCACTGACATGTTGTTAGCGATTATCACGGATCGATAAGCTTTTATTGATGGGTAAACAGGGGGATGATGGAAAGGGGGTAAGCGGATCAATAAGGGATGGCTCTGGGTAATGGCTCGGGAACAGGGCTTTGCTAGCGCGATAAGCCGACAACGCGGGCCGATATTTACTGTATGTGGGGGCAATGTGAACAGCGCTAGAGAGGAAGCAATTACGAGTTTTTCAATGGAAATCGATCGAGTTCAACCAAGAGCGCGCGGGCGAGCTAGCAACGGTCATGGCGACGGACGGCAAGGGTCAATGCCATCCAACATGGGGGTGGGTGGGATTCACTGGGCATTGACGTAGTTGACCGAGTAGTTATTTAAAAAGTAATCATTCTAAGTTGGCTGAGACTCAAATAGAGAAACTATATCGACAACGAAGAAAAGGAATTAATCTGGATTATGATAGAAGCCTGTAGTCGAGATTTGTTTATTGGCAATATTGATTTTTTAATGTTTTCAAAGCATAGCCTAGTATAAATATTCATAACATCACAGTATTCTTCCACTGTGAATCATACCATTGACGAAGCCTATCCATAGAAGCACTGTAGTTCAATTCATACAACAAAAACTATCAAAACGGTGGCTAGCAAAGATAATGAAAACGACGAACAGCAAAGAGCGTTCACTGCCCGTTAAAAATTTCGTGTAGATGAAATGATCCTTCCCAACCTAAACGGGTCACTATTATTCCAGGACTATTTAGTATTCAAAGCATTCATTCGTATTCACCCCTACGGAAACAGAATTGTAGCTTCTAATATTCATAAAATGTGCTATTTATATGAAGCCTGTGGGAACTGTATGGGCAGGGACAAGAACGAAAGCTCATCAGGTGTGCAAATTCATACCGTAATATCGCCCCTGTTTCGGGTTGCAAATTAGAGACACGTACAAGAGTTGTTTGAACAGTCACATACGAATACTTGATTCTTTGAGCTTCGTTCCTGTAAAGGTAGTTCGAGAAGCTTCGTTTTGTGATAAGAACCTGATAGCGATGTGGTGATAGTAGCACTTCGTCCTTTCCCTACCACTTCACCTTCCGTCTCCCTGGGTATGTTTACTTCCTTGACTCCACCCATTTGTTGCTTTTCACCATTTTAAATAAAGCACCTATGACAAAGGATCGAACTGTCCTATTCCACATCGGACCCCACCCAAAGTTCAAGTCCAACTCCCACCACGTCAACGCAGATAGAACAGAAGTGAAGAAAAATGCAGCCGCTTTCACATGATAACTAGGGAATGAGCCCTTTGAAGTGATTCGCTCCGATAGAATTGGGGCTTCTGCCGCTGTACAAATACTACGAACAATCAAAGCCAATACCAAGTAACACACAGTGCTACTCTCTTAGGAAGGGTGTTCCCATATTCAAAATAACGACCCCATCGAATAAAACAAATGTAAGCTTTGAACTCATGTTTTGATAACTCTAAAGCAGTCTTCCAAAAAGAAATAACAATGACACTCATAGAAGAGATTGATAAGGGTTCGATTTAGAATAAGCAATTTCTGGCATGCAAAAAGGCTTAAATTCAAACCCACCTCTCGAGACGAAGAATTTCAAGCATTTATTGGATAATGTAGTTAAATCCCGAACATTTGCAGTCAAGTACTTGCCAAAAAACGATCAAAATCGATTACTTAACTAAACCGACACAAAGAAAAAATTAACATTACACGCTTCTGAAAGCAAGTTTTTAAAAAGAGTTCACACACACTCGAGAATGCAAACGGCGCTGCAAATTCACGATGAGAAAAAACTGTTTACTCAAGTCGTCAGATCAACGCGAGTACGTGCAACTACAGAAAGTGTGGTCAAACCTACGCCAACCGCATGATGTAATAACCTTTAGTGATGTGGTACGCAGTGTTGTGACCTAGTTATTGAGCGAAATCAATCGGTAAAAGTTCTCATGGACTCCGAGCACGGTCGGTGCAGTTCTGTCCCACCGTATAGTCTTGATGACTACTTGTTCAGGTATCAATGAATGCTTTCAAAGGGACTACCGTATCGAATGGTTGGCCGGCCCTTTGAAAAAGGACATTCGGCATGTGAGTCCCTTATCTTATCAATCTATAGTTGAGCAGATTACACAGTTATGCAGCGATGCCCTATTGAATAGTTTGCTGGAATATTCGACAACATACACTTCATCGATTATGTCGTCCATAGTAGTCGGATGTAGAAATTGGTGGGGGATTTTGATGTCATTAGCACGTGGTGGTTGCGAAGTACAGGGCAATCGTACTTTGTTTAAACAGCCATATCGCCGACAAACCTCCTCTCTAGCGTCGACCTATTGAAATGACGCTATCGGTTTCGATTACGATGATCAATGGACAAAGATAGGTCCTGAGTGGGATGCCCATCTGATTCTCAACAGCCGTGAGATCTTTTTAGCTACACTCCTCCTGGAGGGGTGTGGTGCAGTATAAACGAAATTGTCGCGTCGCGGTGAGAGACGTCGCGCGCGAAGGGATGTAGCAGAATGCAGCAGCAAGTAAGAAATACAGGAACAATGAACTAGTAGTAGAATCAAGTCAAAAATAATAAGCGCATAGCGATTGAGCTGTATGAAGAACGCTAGAACTGTTATAATGAGGCAAATGGTCCGCGACAGCCGCGTGCGGCGGATCGATTACAAAAAACCGTTCCTACTGTCCGTCTCCCCTCCTGGAGGTCTGGCGTTGAACACTGAACGAGGAAGTAGGCTACGGATATGAGGCCCTGTACTTCGCAGCTACCACGTGCTAACAACTCCTACTTTTTAGGGTCCGCGTTCATCAAATCAAATAAACCTCCTCATCGAGTGCTGAAGAAACGCAAGCTATGAAGGACAAGCCGTCCAGCGCTGATCAGTCTCTTTCGGTGTACGCCACGAACTCGAAATCCATTCGTGATAGTACTTGGGAAGGTGCAGGGACCTGGGGACATCTTTCCCACATCCATCGTAATTATTAACGCAAAAGACAATAAACTATAATAAAAAGTAGAAAGAAGGGCAGAACAGTCAAAATAAATCTCCTCGTCGACTGCTGAAGAAACGCAAAAGCTGATAGGGGGTCCTCTATCGACGACCTGTGGACGCAGTGATTGATACCAGTATGACGACGGCGACAGCTGCTGCTGCTGCTCAGTTCCTCGCCGGAAGAAAGAACGTGCTAGGGAATGAGCCACCGAGAGGGTGAATTATTGAACCGTCTATCCTTTCTAATCGCCCGCAGTAAATTGATAAATTCGGGCGATACCGAAATTCGACCCCAAAGTGCATCCTCTGTGAAGGACGACATTCGGTGGTACGTTACTTTGTAAAATTACACCGGCTGTGTTCTTCATAGGCATATGCGGTCGCAATAGGCGAGACTCGTCCGCGCGTGCACGGCGCGTACGCGATGACGTCACCGCAACGTTGCGTCGAAATGCCGATATGCTACCGCCACACTGCACTCAAACGGCACCCACGGGGACGGGGACGGGGACTGGCTGTCACAGACCGCTTGCCAAGCTGCGTACACAACGGCACATAGGCGTTAACGTCACCAACATGAGCGATCAACTTGACTGCATCGTTGGATTTCAATTGAACATTACTGTTTGAAAAAAATTAGTATTTCTGGCTCCGTGCCAATTCTGATCGCAAGTATTCTTCGAGTTCAACGCGAGAAGGTGTGGCACAGATGCGGGACAGATGGAGTCATTGAAGACAAGGATGAAGATACTTAGCCCCTGGTTTTTTGCTCTGCTCAGCTCCTGTTTTTCGAGTACACCCAGGCAAAGTGACAAGTTCGAGGAAATTTGTTAATATTTTAATTTCAGAGCCCTTCTAGAGTATCTTCCTTGGCGAAATCTTCCTCCGTATTCGTACTTGTGTTCCTTTCCTCGGTTACCACACTTTCATCAACTTCATTTACGGTGTTGTTATCCTTATTGCCATCCTATAAGGAAGAAAGCTTTGACTTCTTGAACAAAATTCAAAAAAAGGGAAATTGATGATATAGACGGACAAAACGATCATCGTTCGATCCCCTATTAGGTTACGCAACGCACTCTATTTTCTTCAGGATCGCGGGGGCATTTGGATGTCTGCTTTCTTTTTTTTCTTTCTGGCATAATCCCGGGACGATTTGGTGTATGGTGCCCTTCATAGACGTCGACTATTATTCCCATCCGAGGTATCTTCCACCAAGGCTAGAAACTCAGTTTTTTTCTCTCGTAAGTGTCCCTTCCACTTCATCGTTGAGGTTTTTCGCTTGCCCTGAACTTCAAAGTCCAGGACCTTTCTTATCGGGTTATTCTGTTAGCTTGTCTGGGTGCACGAGCTCACGGCGGTGCTGCCCACTTTTTGAACCCTTAACTTGAATCGGCTTGTCTAATCGATTCGCTTACGGGATGCTTCCCACAATTGCGGAATGATGAAAAGGAGGATGTTCTAGTGGGTATAAATCTGGGCGTCGGGAGTGTGTGCAGTTGAACCGAAAGGAATCATGAGCACAAACGCAGGCCCCTCGCCCATGCCTGTCCCTATACTCTCCCGTTTTCTGTGCGCTGTTCTTGATCCCCACAAATGCCGCAATCTTCATTGTATTTCCGAGACTACCTTGTCAGCCTCTGCACGGTCGCTCTTCACAGCCGCAGCATCACCTTCGCTCGCTTTTTCGCCAGGTTTATTCCATTCATAAGGGTCCGTCCTGTAACAATTCCGGTTTATCCATTTCTTGGAATAAAGGTGCGTTCCTCACTTACATTTTGAGCTTATGAGGTAAGTCTTGCTTTAACTNGTTGGAACCATGAGCACAAACGCAGGCCCCTTGCCCATGCCCGGTCCCTATACTCTCCCATTTTCTGTGCGCTGCTCTTGACTCGGCCCCACAAATGCCACCATCTTCGTGGTATTTCCGAGACTACCTTGTCAGCCTCTGCACGGTCGCTCTTGACTGCCGCCGCATCACCTTCGCTTGCTTTTTCGCCAGGTTTATTCCATTCATAAGGGTCCGTCCTGTAACAATTCCGGTTTATCCTTTTCTTAGAATGAAGGTGCGTTCCTCACTTACATTTTGAGCTTATGAGGTAAGTCTTGCTTTAACTTCTCCATATAGTTCTTATAAGGAGGAACATCGTGATAAGTAAGTTTTCGCAAAGTTTTGGCCATCTCCAAAAACGAAGGCGGACATCCCTGAATGAAGGGGAGAGCAGTAAACTTCCAAAAGAGCACGGTCATACAGTGGAGGAAGTGGAACATCGCTAACTGGCAATGTCTTTTTGTAGGACTTGGGGCCATATAACGGGCTGTGAACTCGTTAAGTCTGACCTTACATAAAACAGCGTCAGTTGTGTTTTCTTTAACTTTCGCTGCCTCCTTTCGTACCATACCTTTCCATGGAAGGGTGGCCGTTAAACATTCGATCATTGAAAAGAGCGCACCATACCTTGAAGGAAAGACTTTACTCGGCTCTTTTTCGAAATGATGGGGTGCGCCATGCATCCAGCAAGCATTAGGAGTCGTAAGTAATTTGGTTGCGTATACAACCTCAAGTACGACTTCCAAGGTGTTCCTAGTGTCCGGCTTAACATTCAAATTCCTGCAGAGAGGACTGGCATGCTTTAGTTGACTCCGGAAATCGTCGCTATTTAACTAGTGAAAACGCCAATGATAAGGACGCCCTTATCAGCTCATCAATTCTGCTGTAAAACTCGCGTTAAGATGGGACTGTACTCACAAATCGTCATGCCGTCCTTGTTCCTTATATTGATGCACATTCAATGAACAATACCGAACCGTCCCACGGAACATAACCTGAAGCAGTTGTTATCAGAGAAATAGAAATCGATTTGTAGTTGACCCAGACAAATGATAGTTAATTGGTAATAACTGGTTTCCCAGGTGGGTGAAGGTCAGGAGTTTCCTTGGAGGTCACCGCGCAGAATTAGGTCACCACGATCCCGAGGTCAACCTTGCCGCATCCAAGAATGGCTGCACGCCTTAGCATGCTAATTTCGCTCGCTTATCTCGGGTGCAAGAGTGGGGGAAGGGGGAGGGATTGGAAGTGACTTTTGTTTGCCCGCGAATTGCATTTACTCGTTGTGGTTGCAGAAATACCCTGATAAGAGCTTTGTGTATGCTCTTGACAGGTACCACGTATCGGAACTGCCTTTAAAATTGAGGGCGTGCACAGTCAGGTCAAGGCGCGACTTTGTCGCGTCCGGCGAGCGACACGACCGCTCGGCGTACTCTAACAGCGATCCACCCAGTAATCACTCCCATATGGTAATTGTAGGGTAAAACGTAACCCAAATTAAGCACCATGTGATCAAGAGTTTGCTCAAAGCAGTATAAAAAGTTGCATTCGATTGTGTTTATTTAGAATCAGGCAATGTTTCACCTTATTTCTTGGTTCACGTAATTTTAATTTGCCTGTGTTATCTGGGATTAGTATTTGACGAGCCAATCCGAAATCGAATACATAGACTACCTGAAGAAAGGTCTAAATCTATAGGCTTACCACAACTAAACACAAGAAAAATAGGTTACTATCATGTTGGTTCGTCAAATTGCATCACTGAGAAGTAATTTGGCTTTTCAGAAGTTTATGTATAAGTTAGAAGGAACAGAGTGACCTCCGAAGTTCGGCAATCCCGCCCCATTGCCAGTGATGGGCGGGGTTGACAAGCTCTTAGCCGTTAGAGCGCTATAATCAGACCTCCTTTCGCGCTTGTCGTTGCGCCATTCGACTCCCCAAGGCAGAAGTGTCTGTCCAGGAGATTACCTTCAGAAGCAATCTGATCGTGAACTGTGCCTTCTTACATTAGACGGTACTCATGGGAAGAGTTTTGTCCAAAGTGCCATTGGATTTGGAGATATGAGAGAGCAGAAGGAAGTGGCGTTTATACTTGGGCGTGCTGTAGATCGAGTATTGATCGATCCTTCTAAAGAAGTAGCGTGATACCTGTGTATTATAAAGACCCATGGCCAAATTGCTTGGTTTCACATCACGATGGACGAATCCAGCTTCATGAAGGTCTTGGAGAGCCTAATAATGGAATGATTATATAACTCGGAGATAATGATTTCAGCTAGTATCGGAGTCAGAAGTATCGGTGTTTGCGCTTCGCGTTAGGGATACAATTTCTCACGGGCTCACGTGCTACCTAATCAATTCTGTAAACCAATTAACAGTGACTAGTGGTGCTGCTTCCAGATGCATGGGCCGCGGCTTAAGTTCAGCACATGCCACTCAAGCCCTATATCCTTCTGGGGCCGGATATTTACTACTAGGCTCATCTGGGAAGAGGATAGCTCGCCAACTCCTTCTGAAATCATTGTATGTATAGCTGAGTTAGCATCCAAATACGGTAGGATTTTGAGAGTTGACGAAATACATGGCGTACCTTACTCAGAAGAGGAGTGATGAATCCTAACTATTCGATTCTTTATTCTTTCGAAACTTAGTTGACATACCCTGACAACTTGTATAGATATTCTTAATGTTGATGGTAGGCTGATTTTACGATTTGGCAGACGACGTCTGATTTCGGATAGCTCTTTTCCTAGTAAACTCATCACAACATATGTATAAGAATCGGTTTTTCCCGACGCCAAACATCGGCAAACATGACGGGAACTGCAAAAGGAGAAGTCAACCTCTGGAATGAAACAGTCTAGTATGTTCGTAAATAATATTAGAGCAGCTTGCAAAAAGATATGGGCTTTGGAACTGTGATGCGCGACCCCTTCATTGGTCAACTGATTGCACAAGCAAATCGGCATTCAGATGAGAAACCTAATCCACCCTATTCAAATGTGATATTCGATTTATCAAACAAACAATGTGCAAATAAGGAAACCCATTTGCATGTGACCCTCATATTACCGAGGCGCTCAAACACGTCTTGTCCAAAAAACATTCTAGCCACGCCCTCTGGGCGATTTGCCAGCGGTCTGTTTTCTCTCGGAAGGCACTGCCTCTCACTGATCCGGTGTGGATTTAGAGCTCTACCTGACTTCCTTTTTCTGCCGCCACTGCCTATTTCGAGGTGGATACAGTCAACTGATGCCGCTTACTTTTGAATTTTCTTCAGCACGAAAATTTCCATTTTAAGAATTTCATCCTCTTTACATTTCATTAATGGTTCCACTTTCATAGCAGCTCTTCCACTTAGCTGAAATGAGCAGGTTTCAGTTTTGTTTATGGATAGTCAATGGTAGTGAGGCAATCGGGGCAATATGCAACATTTCCCGGCATTCAGCAATGAAGAAGACCACATTCGGCATACCACACTAGAGTCTAATCCCCCCCCTCCTGCCCCTTCTCATCCGAACCAAACTAGCGTCCTCTGCCTTTTAGTGGGTCATGGCTTTATTTTGTGGATGTCCTTGTCGGATGATTCTCCGATCCTCATTGGGCGAGTCGTAAAAGATTCTAGTGGTCATTTGTACATGGGCTTATAGCATCTTTCTGATGTGTGCCACCCTTGCCGGGTGTGGTGCGTTAGGAACTAAATGGTCGCGTTGCGGTGAGAGGGGCGTCGCGCGCGAAGGAATGTAGCAGGATGCAGCAGTAGGTAAGAAATACAAGAACAAAAGTACTANTAGTAGAATTATGCATAAAATAATGGTGTATATCGATTGAGCTCTATGAAGAACACTAGAGCTGTAATACCGGCTCAGAGTGTCCGCGACAGCCGCGTGCGGCGTATCGATTACGCAAAACCGTTCCTACTGCCCGTCTCCCTCCATAAGTCCTATGTTCCCATACAACTGTTCAAATGTATGACGTACTTTTCCATTTGCGTTGACTACATGGACCAGATAGACCTGTCCGCATGCTCCTTCACCAATTTTCTTCTTTATTACAAACTGATCCTTGATTTTGTCCCCAATGTTTATTTTCACTGGTCCGAGAGGCGTTCCCATTGCTGCATAGATACCTGAACACAAATCCTATTAGATGGGCAGAGCCTCCTCTTCCACAGTACCGACAAGAACCGCAACTCACCATTCGACAAGAATCACAGCTCACCACGGTTCAGTCCTAAAAATGTGACCTCCTCCNACAAACTGATCCTTGATTTTGTCCCCAATGTTTATTTTCACTGGTCCGAGAGGCGTTCCCATTGCTGCATAGATACCTGAACACAACTCCAGTTAGATGGGCAGAGCCTCCTCTTCCACAGTACCGGCAAGAACCACAACTCACCATTCGACAAGAATCACTGCTCACCACGGTTCAGTCCTAAAAATGTGACCTCCTCCGGATTCCTTTATCAATCAGATTACATCTCACTGTAAATCACTGATCTAAGTTTATCATTCCTCGAAGACAGCTTGGAATGGCTCAATAAAGGCAGCACATACCGCAACACTAATGAGGTTGCGTTCATACCTGGCGTCAAGCGAAAAGTTCATCAAGTTATGACGCTTTCGCCCATTATGGGCCTTTCATAGAAGTTTGAGTCTACGGAAAGTTATGATGATGCTACGAAAGATTACGATTTCTCGGTGTTCAGCCTTCCTCTGTCAGTTCTACTGTTTAGTCCAACAGCCGCCAAAAACTTTTGTGGCCCTACATTTTTCGTGAAACTTCTTATCACCCTGTCACTGGGCTCGATACTCAAAAGTCCTCGTGACCGCTCACCTTTGCCCACTCACCTGTTTACACGCCAGGAGCGATACTATGGGTAGTATGGAGGAAATTCAGGGGAGGACAACCATTTCACTGCATTGAAAGGAAGATTCTAGAAATTTTTATTACATCAGGGTGATAGAAATTTGTGGAATAATCTAGCAAGCAACAAGTGTGACCTAAGTGTAAGCTACCTTGTGAACGTATGGAATGTGAAGCTGATGATGCGTAGGATATTTGTGAAAGTTCAGTCAGTAAACATCACGATGGATGGGATAGGCACATATTAGAAACCATAGACCATGACTAGCTATACTGAATGATGAAATTAAGTGAACCCAAGGCTTTAAAGGTCAATTTGACAGTAACAGACAGAAATCAGCGACCAAAAACATACCAATATCACATACAATTGTCACAACCACAGATTATGCCTTTCACTATACATAAAAGAATGAGCTCGCCCTGAAGAAATTGGAAGAGCTTCCCTCCTTGAAGGGAATGGGTACACCGGAGTGGGTGGAGTAATTGAGACCATTGCGCATTTGCCATTGGTTACCGCTCCTGTTTGACAGGCAAAGTACCAGTGAGGAATGTGCAACAGTCGTATAGACTCCACCCGCCCATGGGGTATACCCATTGCCTTCAAAGTAGTAAATAGTGCTTATAACTAAGCTGAATCTCAATACAAGTCTACAAATTGAAACATCGCACTATGAGATGAGTTGTAGGAACCGGTATAGAGGTTAAGACAATGCACGGAAACACTAGCATTTCACCGTCCATAAATAACATCGTTAAGTGACTCGACATTAAGGTCCGAACAGCTTGACATTGCTCGGAGACTCTGCGCATAAAAGGCGTAGTCTTGCGAGACGAATCTGAAGGAAAACCATGAAATTGTTGGAGCATCCACCTTCTTTGGAAAAATTGCACATTTCCCCTTTGATTCAGGACTATTGGATGAAGCCTTGGCGTTAATTACTTCCGTCTGATGAATACGCACCGCCTTCGATTTCCATTCAGAATCGTAGTGGCGTAACGGATACGTATGTCGCCCATACAATGACTTGCGGTGGCCAGCCGCTGCTCAAGTCAAAGCTGTTATCCTCCCAGATGGGTCTGTTATCAGACCCCAGAGGGGTTATGAGCTTAGTTGGCCTAGGCACGATCCGGATTCGAACCCGTGAGCATGCGTGTGGGATAGTGGGTAGCTTACCACTGCACCATCTCCGCCCAGAATTCATGGAAGTGGAAAAATCGTTTGGATGATGCTACGAGTAATAAGGGGAATGATGTAAGAAATAACGGAAACCTCACCCATATTTGAGCGAATCGTGGGGCGAAATTCCAATCCGTGCTAAGTGCAGTTTCAAGTTACCTTTGAAATGCTCGTGTACCGTTTCAAACAGAGACTGAAAAAAATACAAATGAGAACTATTTCCTTGAGAAGGCTCAACCAAGATCTTTCGTGGGCATCTTCTCCTGAACATTTACTTAAGATGAATCGTAATATCGAGTGCGATGAAGGATTACCTTTATTTGATCATCTGGTATTATGCCTGCTAGACCATTATGAAACTTTTGCATTTGACGGCAGATCTGTTGGAAAGACGACGATGGCACTGATGAGCTAATCTCCCACTGAAAAAGCGATTTGAGGTCTTCGTTCCTAAGAGACTCAGGTTACAACAGGGAAAAATTCAAGGAAATGTATCCAAGTCGAAAACAAAACAGGTAAGTAGGAAATATTACAAATTATGGTAAAACCTACATTATTTAAACAATTTGTTGTATGATGATCAATAACACTAACGAGTTTCGATGTAATCTCCTTTATATGGTCCCCGTAGTCAGTTAAAGCCTGAAACAAAAGCCAGTAACAGCTAGCCAGCAACAAACAAACAAACAAACAAACAAACAAACATAGGGGAGAAGTTGAGGAAAAATGCAGCTAAAACCTGTTTGAAATGACGCAGGAGGTGTTTCTGGTCTTCCTTGAGGGAAAGTTCAGCCTCATGAGCTACAAATGGCACAAAGTGGACGATCAACTGCAGGGATCGTGAGGCAAGAGCTAAAATAAGACCCCTTCAATGTGAACTTGCTGGAAAAACCAAAAAAAAACTACCTAGATTCCGCACAGAAATCGTTTTCAAGCCAACCAGCTGCAAGGCTCCGGCTCCCAGGATCAGCTGACAGCAGCGACTACAATTACAATCAATAAAGCTCATTCACAATAGGATTTTTTTACGGCATTCGCCTCAGCGAGAATTCGCTTCTCACTATTAGTAATTCGTGATTTCGATCAGAATTAAAGGATTTAAAAATACCTATTGAATCCTTTGAGAAGCTCGACGACCCGAGATAAGATATCGGCAGCGAATTCCGGTAGAGCAACAAAACATTCGCAATAATCAGCGAGTATTTTTAAAAATACCAGAGCAGAGCTGAACAAAAAATAGAAATATTTGTCGTACAAAGTACGGAAAGCTATTTGACAGAATTCAATCTTCAGAGGTATTTACCTTACTACAACATAAGGCGTGCTATCGACGATGACCGCTTCTCCTCCTACCGAAAGGCTTGGCGCAGGAACGTTTTTTAATCGACCTGTGCGAAGCGATTCATCTACGAGACACTGGAACTCAGCTCCTACTTCGGACGCTTTCCATAACTCTGCATCCAGCATACCACTGAAAAAATGAAGCCTGGCAGGTCAATTCTACAAAGAATGTTCACGAATACCAAAAAACGATCCCTGCCGAATCTTGATCCTCGTTTTCAAAAAAAGGCCTGCATAATGAGCCTGAACTGGGGAACGCCGTAGCAGTATACAGAAATTGGAGCACTACCCCTTCGAGAACTCGAATTAGACAGGTTCTGAGAGACTGTCGGACACTATAAAAACTTGGAGGAAAAATTTTGTAGCGATTCCAGAGCCTCCTGACGACATTTGAGGATGCTATGGGGTTAAGACTGTGTTAAGCGCTTTGCAACTGTAGAGCTGGCATGGTGGTGAACCGTCGAACTATGCCCAGCTACCGTGGCGCAGCTCATCAGTCTACCAAACAGGTGTTCTGTTGGGTATACGGAATTGAGAAAAACAAAACAAATAGCCAAAACAGAAAAAAATTGGATGCAGTAGAAAAACTAAGTTAAAATAAATACCTCATCTTGGAACGCCGTTGCGTATGAAAACGTTCAATATACTCTAAGCACAATTTCTGCAGGCAGACCGACAGTGGACTAACAACGACAGGCTGTAAGCGAATCAGCCAGAATAAAAGCCTATGAATCAAACTCGATAAAAATAATTTGATTACCTCTACTTTATGCCATCCTTGGTTTGCACAATCCTGTTGGTATTCTCGCAATAAAGTAATCATCTCATTAAGTTGTTCTGGAGAGGTAAGGTCTGGCACACCCTCTTGAAGCTATAAAAATAATTCCTTGAGGTCAATATGAGAGTTACTCATGCTTTTCCTCGTCAGACTCAATCCCAAAAGACAGTTGCCCCGCCAGGTGGCCCGTAGAAAAAACACCTATGTAAAGTGTCACATTTCAAGGCTAAAGACAAACAAAGGGGTTCCAATGAACAAATGCTTTAACGAAAGGGGATTGGAACTGAAAATTGTTCAATGTGGGTCGACAACTAGATGAAGTTAATCATTTTATCATAAAATACATGCAATATTTGAAAAAATTATCGAAATTATCAAGAAAGTACTTCAAAGTCGAGACTCACCTTGAATCGAGCAATTAGTAACCGGCAGAGGCGACCTTGTGCACAGTGATGGGCGAATTCAGTCAAAATCGAGGCTGTTCGGAGGAGCTGAGGTAAAGAACGTATCTCGACAGCAAGTAATGCTGCTGGATCCCCAGATGTATCTCCAGGTGTTGAAGCTCCAGCGCTACCAAACGCAACCTGAACAAGTGTAGGAGGTCCGTTCGGTTCTCAAAACCCTGACGAAAGAACTTTTTTAATTGAATTTAAAAAAGTCTTTAGCTGTTGGGACAACTCACATCTTGGTCACTCGAAGACAAATCTACCGGAGGTCGTAATTGCAATGAATCTTCACTAACAAAAGGTGAGCCATTAAGTCCTGTTACGCTGGCGTTGTTCCGTACACGTTCTGCACTTTCGTGAATCACATCTTGGAGGTTCTGCAAGGGGAAAAGAGTTGATGTTGAGGAGAAATCGGTAATTTCGAAACTTACCTGGACCCGTCTGCAAAAATCGAAGAACTCCTTTGTGACATCATTTACAGTTTTTAACCAATCACTAAATTTCAATCGTCGCACTGGCTCTCCGAGCTGGCTGAACAGGCAGGATTCCGACGAGATAACGATTCAAAGGATTCTTTGGAAGAGTAGGAACTTACTTGAGAGTAGGGTCAAAGTCAGTAAGGTCGAGGCCGCTTTCTACGATGTGCAGTTTGACTTCGTGCCGCAGAATACCTTTTAGCGCTTCCATTATTTCAGTTCTCACCATAGACATGAACCCGAATCGTCGAACTTGTATCAAACCCATCAGAACACACGATAACTCTCCCTAAAAAATTGAACCGTCGATGCCTCCTATTTAATGACGAGTTTCAAAAAGAACTAATAGCTAATAAACAGCCCAAACGCCTTACATCATAAGTCAGTAGCACACCCTCTTCAGGCTTCGTGCCAAATTCCTTTTGGATCAAGGACGCAAAGTCATCTAGCATCATTCGACCTATCACACCATACAATTCCCTCAGTTGCGATCCAAGGTGCCTGAATGAAAAAATTATTTTAACAGAGTGACGTCGAGAGGTTGCAGGCTCACGATCACCTGAAGCATTGGACTCCACTGAGCTCAGAATTGAGCACCTCTTCACTTGTTTCGATACATTCGATGACTTTCGGGTAATCGCTTTGGTTCAACAGCATCTGCACCGTCGTTTGGGCTTCACGAAGACAGGCTACATCCTGAAAACCGAACCACAATTTACAAAATAAGTAAATAAATAAATAAACTTATAACCCAAATCACAAACTCGAAATGCTCTATCAACTAAAACCGAACGAACGATTATCCAGGAGAGGTAAGGGACTGTAATTCGGGAGGACATTTGTTAACTAACTCACATACAACTTAGCGAGTAGTTTCTGCTTCTTTTCGCGTTTTTCATACAAACTCATTATATTCCTAGCCCTTTCACAAACCAGATTGGCTACGGCTTGCAAATTGGATCTGTAAACATGAAATAAAACCAAACTTGCCAATCGAGCAACTTTAACTACCAGCGTTACTTACCGTACTTTCCTAATATCAGCCATCGCGTCAGCTAGCTCTTCATGAAGTCCACCATAGCTATGAACCATCTGCCAGAAAGCTGCGGATTTTGCTACAAGCCGGGTAGATAACCTCGAATCGACCACATCATGAAACGACTCCAGACTGGCACTCAGCAGCATATAGTCCCGAAACGAACCGTGTGGCTGAAACCAGAACGAAATTTCCGATTCTGATGGGGTCACCTGACAATAAAATTCATTACGTTGCGTCCATCAGCTTCTTCATGTGGGATGGAAACTACCGTTCGGCCACATCTCGTCACCGTGAGTGGATCTGTAGTGCCTTTTGGTGGAACAATGAACATTTCGGTAAACGTTCGCTCATCTGACAAATGAAAGAATGGATCCATCAGCATCTGAAACAGTCTGATCCCCACTTTCAACAAGTTCCTAGCGAAAAGTAAAAAGGTGGAGAAGTAAGAGGTGGCGCCGCTATTGCAAACATGATCATATCCGAAGTATAACCTCGCCCAAGCCAAACAGACCTTCCAGCCTATTTAGTGATGGTCACCTAATATCAGGCCTGCCTGACAGGATAGAAATACTGGGTTCCAAAAAGAAAGGGACTGAAAGTGAGCATATGGGCCTGATAAGAGTTATAATAGCTATCGATACTGTACAACCCGCTCGAGCTCCAGCGGGTTGTACAGTATCGAAAGTAATCCAAATGCGCGACTGGGTGTAGGTGTGCCGAGCCATTAGATCCAGAAGCTATACGAATCAAGATCGAAGTCGACCTTATGGCGCATCTCAGCAAAAAAAAAAAAAACTGGCAAAGTGCCAAAAGTTTTATTCAGAAAGAGCATGTAGTGTAGTGGTTTGAGCCGACTCCACATGAGAGCGCATGGTCCTCTTCGGACCTTTTTTTCGATATCGGAAATCTCATATAAATTACTTTTATCGCTCGAGTTTTGAGTACTATATATCACCCGAACGCGGGTTCCTTTGATTCGAATGTTTCGTCTACTTTACACCTGGTGAGAAAGCTGTCCTCCACCCTCACCACAAAACAACAGCTGCACTCTTGCCTCTCCCGAAAAACGAACACCACGTTCAATACGTTTACGAACACTCTACTATGCTGCACAATCATTCGTTAAAGTATTTGGCATCCAGAAAATTGCCACCTTATCTTCAACAACGCCTTTCTATTACCAGTGATGACAGCAATATGATTTATTGGTGAGTACTTGTTAGACATTTCATTTCATTGCTGATACCTTAGACCTTTTATGGACCACTTGTTTCTTTTCGTTTTCGAAAAATTAGAATTTGTTTCCTCTTTCCTCAGAGAATTTGATCAGCTACTTACTTATATCTTAACACCCTCAACGACCCTGAGAATTTG